GTCTCCATATCTTCCCCTTCTATTTGCCAGGAGGTGATGGGACCAGTGGCCATGATTTTAGTTAGTCTGTACCAGTAATTAAACAGTTTTCATGGAGGAACCATGAGCAACCTATGACACATGACCTGAGGTGTGATTCTGACCAACTATGAGAGTCTCCAAAGTAAAGAGATGGACATGCATGATGATGCCCTCACTTAAAATGTTCTCCCTTTGCCATCTCTAAGTTGGCTTCTGTTTTCTTATCCGAAGGTAACCCAAAGAGCTGCTGTTTCTGTTAGTCACATCTTGCCTTAAGATAAATAACACATTTTAAAAAACTAGAGAAACAAATAAACCATAAAACCCGAAGCTGGAAAACCCTTAAATGGGTGGCTAATGGCCCTCTCTGCCTGGAAGCAAATTTAACAAGCCAAGGTCACAGACAAGGAATTTCTAGGGGGAAAATTAGATTTGAGATAAGAATATCTTTGAATCAAGTTCAAACTAATGTCAGTATAGCTGGTGACCCGCAAAGTCAAATTCAACTCACCGGTCATCTGAGACGACCTCAGTAAACTTGCTTTTTGCCAATAGGATGTTTTTCTTTTCTGTTTGAGGTCCCAGCCAGGTCACAATGGCTATAATGTTATGGATGTCTACGCTGGCCAATATCCCAGAACAACTGAGAAATACATTCTTGATTGTGGGTTCAATGTAGCATTGCTTAGTGTGAAAATTCACATGCCGGCTGGGGATTACAGGAGGGTTATTCCCCAAAAGTATCTTTTTTTTTCCAAGCTTACGTCAAGATCCTTGTGGCACAGAAGCCTGGTCTGTACATACATAGGAACTAGTAAAGACTTCTATGCCACTGGGGTGGTGAAGCCACCTCAGATTTTATCCTGAATATTGAAGTAGCTTCATTACGTAGGGATAAGGTGTTGTTTGTTTTTTACAAATCCCATAACTCTCTATTCTGACAGCTCTATTTGACAGACAGACACCTTAGAGATCCTAAATATGGCTCGCCTGGGAGGAAGGCCTCAATTTGAAAGCTAGTGCTGGGGCAGGAACAGCAAGCTTGGGTAGAGTTAGGCCTAGCACAGCCTCAAAGCCTTTCCTTTGAGACCTTTCTCCCAGGTGGCCTGCATTTAGGTTTCTGTAAGGTTTCTGTCTGCCAGATGGGACTCCCAGAATGCAGGATTATGGGAACTGCGGAAAAAAAATCCCACCCCTAAAGTACAGTGGGGGCTCGACTTACAAACTTATTGGAAAAAAAAAAACCCATCCCTAAAGTAGTGGGGGATTGGGTTCAGCACCATGGAAAGCTCCTTTGAAATTTAGACTTTCAAAAAAGTCATCAGCCTTTATTGACAGGGACCCCTTTCAGGCATTTATGGTTATTTATAATCATAAATACCTGCACTTTTAGATTATACATCCCAAAATTCCCCAACTGGCATGGCTTAAAAAAAAACAGCAATTCTCAAGCTTGGGCAGAATTTTGACTTAACAGTGTTTTAAATTAAGAATGATTGTATAGTTTTAGTTGTCCCACACCCTGGGTCCTCGATGATGAGAAAGGTGGCATATAAATAAAGTAAACAAACCACCTTTGGACTACAACTCCCAGGTTCCCCTGAGCAGCCTGTGAGATTCTGGGAGTTGTAGTCCAAAAACACAAATCTTTTATTCCACTTCCAGAAAACCATAATTCTTTGCTTAACCATTCAAACGAACAATAACCATGCTCATTGAAGTAGATTTGGAGGATGATGAGAAAGGTGGCATATAAATAAAGTAAACAAACCACCTTTGGACTACAACTCCCAGGTTCCCCTGAGCAGCCTGTGAGATTCTGGGAGTTGTAGTCCAAAAACACAAATCTTTTATTCCACTTCCAGAAAACCATAATTCTTTGCTTAACCATTCAAACGAACAATAACCATGCTCATTGAAGTAGATTTGGAGCAGAGCTGTTTTTATTCCACATCCAAAAAACCATAACTCTTTACTTAACCATTCAAAAGAACAGTAACCATGCTCATTGAAGTAGATTTGGAGCAGAGCTGTTCAAAGAGCACAAGGGAGAAACAATCCATGACAAATTCTTTAATTAGTTTAAAGCAATGCAATTACCCATAGCCACTTAATTTTTGCAAATATGAAGCTATTTTTATTTGTGACAAGTAACACCTAAGTTGCTTAGGAGTAACTAGTAACACCTAGTTACTTTTAAGGGCATTGCAGAGGCATTTTAGAAGCATCTTGATAGGAATTCTTCAGCTTTTACTGACGTTCTCTTACCAATCCGAATCAGCAAAGGAAAGAGTCTTTGATTTCTGTATTTTGTGTGTGGGGGGGTGGGGTTTGTTGTTGTTAATATTTCCAAAGTGCACTATCAGAATTGGCCAGTAGAGGGAATCAGGATGTGCTTGAGGGTATTTTTCTGGCCAGCTGGTAATGAAAACAACACCATCGTGCAAGATGACTTGTCTGCTCCAAGCAATGAAAGTGGTAACGACATGCTAGTTGCTGCAAAGCAACAAGTGGCTTTTAAATATCTCAGGGGTTTAAGTCTCTGGTTGCAGAGTCAGAGGCTGGGAATTTGATTCCCCACTGTGGCTTCTTGACAGGGGCCGGATTCAGTTATCTATAGAGTCTCTTCCAGCTCTGCAGTTCTAAGAGGAGGAGGAGGAGGATGAAACACTCCAAGCTCTGCTACAAAGGGACATGCAAACACAAATCCCACCCACACTCACACCAGTAAGTGAGAAATGGATGCCAGCTAGTGATCAACAGCTGGAGCAGATTCAGGCCAATGTCAAAGAAAAATTAGACTGATTACATGATAAGGCGTCCAGAAGTTCTATTCTCACTACACCCTTCTTTAAAGCCCTGACCAGTTTTATGTGACTTAAGCCAACACCTCCTTCTGGGCCTGACCCAAGACTGGAAGCAATCACACTGTGCAAATGACTTGTTTTCTTTCCTTTCCTCCCACATCTTTCATATAGCAACCCAGGATTATTCGCCTCTGGAGTTTTTATGCAATTATATATTGAGAAAAGCAGGTTGCCTCTCTCTCTCTCTCTCTCTCTCTCTCTCTCTCTCTCTCTTGGCCCACAGCAACCTCTCTGGGTGTGAAAAGGGCCTTCAGAATCAAATAGTGTTTCTCCTTTTCTTACAATATGCCTCAAAGTCATCTGACAAGATTGGAGAAGAGGGGGAGAGGGTTACGGGGAGAGTAGAAAACCAAAGCAATATCCTCCTGGCTTGGAAGGCACACAGGGGCTCTTCAACTGTTGGCCATGGAGAGATTAATCCCTAGCTCATTTCTGCACATTGCATGCCAGCAGCTGACCTAGCCTTTGACTGCAGCTAATTACAGTTTGCAACCCTCTTGTAGCGGAAAGTAGAGGAGGCAGATTTAAGCCTGCAAATGAAATGTCCTTGCAATATTCCAGACATCAGATTTATAAGGGTTTGGGGACCCTTTGGGTGCTTGAGCACATTTGTCTTCAGTGGATGGATTACAGAGGAAAACTCAGTTGCAGTCCGACTAAAGATTAATCGCACCCATGTGACACGGCAAGCATTTTTCAAAGCAAAAAGAAAAAAGGTGAAAGAAGGCTCTGAGATGCTCAACTGCAGTGGCCCCCAACCTTGGGCCTCCAGATGTTCTTGGACTGCAACTCCCAGAAGCCTTCACCAGCACCTCTGCTGGCCAGGATTTCTGGGAGCTGAAGTCCAAGAACATCTGGAGGCCCAAAGTTGGGGACCACTGCTCTACTGCAGTGGGAATTCCTCATCTTGGGCTGTTAAATGTTTTTTTCCTATCAGCTCCCTGAAACTCCACCAATATGGTCAATGGTCAAGGATTCTTGCAACACTAGATCACAACATCTGGAGAACCAAGATCAACAACATACTGGATCAGCAACGTCTGGAGACCCAATATCAACAATGTACTGGATCGGCAACATCTGGAGAACCAGTATCAACAATGTGCTGGATAAGCTACATCTCGAGAACCAAGAGCAACAACATACTAGACTGGCAACTAGGAGATTAGGATCAAGGATACCCAAATGCAAGTATCTGCACAGTCCTAAATCTCATTTTGTGGCCATGAGCCAGTTGCTCTCTCTCAGCCTCACCAGCCTCAAAGGTTTCTTGTAATTATAAAATAAGCTGCAGAGTTTACTTCCCCCCATAACGACAACATTTTGCTTATTCACATAGCACACAACTCATCCCATTTTGCTCTCCACATGCTGTTTCTGTCCTTGGAATTTTCACAACCCTTCCATGATTTTTTTTTGGAAAAGATTTATTACAGTTTCTGAACAATATTGATACAGGTGTACTGTACCTGCCTGGCTCTATACCTTTCGCTAATAGAAGTGGTTTCCTCCTCAGGACCCCATAGATCGTTAAGCATTTTAAGCCGTATCTCTTCCTGCTAGAAAAATACCAAGTGGACATTTACTGACTTGGGACAGTGATCTCTCTAGCCAGTGCTTCCCAAACTTGGGTCCCCAGATATTCTTGGACCGCAACTCCCAGAAGCTCTCGCCAGCACAGCTAGTGGCAAAGGCTTCTGGGAGCGGAAACATCTGCAGACTGAAAGTTGAGGACTAGTGACCTAGCTTAATGTCAACACCGACTCAGGAAGAAATTCCCCTTCTGGGGAACTGGGAAGTTCCTCTTCCCAACCTGATCTGGAGATAACGTGGGGGGAAAAATCAGGTGCTTCCTGCATAGAACACCAGTGGCCTCCCACAGACGCTGTCACTATAAACACATATGATAAATGTGATAAAGTTGCAAATGAGTGTGGCGCTATTTTTCAGCAGCAGAATTTTTCATCTTAGATAGAAGAACAGATTTTCCAGGAAAGAAATGGGTGGTCCTTCATTTTCTCTCCTTTGACAACGCAGGCACCTAGTTATATTTCAAGAGGCTAATTTTTAACATACACCTACAAACCACACAAGATATTTATTCTGGAACCTTCAGTCCTACCTGGTGCGGGAAGGGATATGAAGGTACTTTTCTGAGATTTTTTTATATATATAAAGTAGCCTCAGTCTCTTTCCTAGGATCCTGATGCGTGACCTCCTCCATCTTCTAGGACAGCAGCAACGGCTATATTATGGCTTGAGACTTGGGCTCTCTCTATAAACACACATAATAAATCACAGGTGACCAGCTAAACTCCTCCTTCATCTCCTGCAGTTACGACACTATAGCCTAGTGTGTGGCATGATAATCAATGTGGCTCTCCGTTCAATAACACATGGCCACACAGCAGTTGATGCAAGATGTAAGCAAGAAAACAACATCGTAATAGTGCCTTGGAAATGAAATAGGAGCACATGCATCATCTGCTTGTGTGGATTGCCCTGGGCGGCGTGTAACTTTAAAGTGTGGTGCTGGAGGAGAGCTTTGTGGATACCCTGGACTGGCAGAAAGATAAACAAGTGGATCAAATCAAGGCTGAATTATCTCTGGAGGCAAAAATGCTGAAGTGGAAACATTCCTACTTTGGACACATCATGAGAAGGCAGGATTCTGTGGAAAAGACAATAATGCAAAATTGGAAGGCTGGAGGGAAAGAGGAAGACCAAATATGAGGTGGACTGACTCCCTAAACGAAGCCACAGGATTAAGTTTGCAAGAGCTCAACAGGGCTGCTGAGGAAAGGAGATTCTGGGGATTGCTCACTCATGGTGTTGCCATAAGCCTAGGGAGATTTGACGGCACATAACCACAATAACAAGCATTGGAAGGAAGGAAGGAAGGAAGGAAGGAAGGCCAAAAGAAGCAGCTCCCAAACCAAAAAGGAACAAGGAAGAAAAAAAAGGAAAGAAAGAGGAGAGAAGCATATGGAAGGAGATGGTTAAGGTGAAATAATAATCTTCCAATATCCTGAAGTGGCTCACTTATGCCATATAGGAATTTCAACCAGAGGGAGCCAAACCAAATAGGGTCACTTGAACTCCAATATGCCATTTGGATGTGAGAATCACATCAACCTGTGTATTGCAGCTCGAGCCAGCCCCAAGCAGCCCTCTTTCAGAAGCATATGGAAGGAGATGGTTAAGGTGAAATAATAATCTTCCAATATCCTGAAGTGGCTCACTTATGCCATATAGGAATTTCAACCAGAGGGAGCCAAACCAAATAGGGTCACTTGAACTCCAATATGCCATTTGGATGTGAGAATCACATCAACCTGTGTATTGCAGCTCGAGCCAGCCCCAAGCAGCCCTCTTTCGCTCACGCCAACCTGCTCCAAAGGAGCCCAGGTAGACAAGCCCTGTGGTTTGCCATCCAGATTTGGGACCCCTTTGTGAGGAGACCGTCACGATGCCCAGCCTGAAGCCACCTCCACACCTGCTACAGTAGCTCAGGTGAGACCTCGGCAGAGTCTCTTACCTTGGACTCCGGCTTCGGAACCCCTCCTGTTTGAGGCTGACGCTTCGCCTTCAATCCCATAGCATCTCCGTTCCTCACTTCTTGACTGCACAAAGGGCGCTCCCATAATAAACTACCAAGTCGCCAAGCCTCGTCATTACCATAATTACCTTGCATCTCCGGAACGTGCAGCCCTTTCACGAGAGACGCCGTCAGGCTCCTGCTCACCTCTGAGAATAATAAACCAAGCACTGAGCCAAGGACTGGAATAGCTGCTGGAGTCTCTATGACAAAAAGAAAAGTCACATTAAAGGAGAGCAGGGCTTCTGTGCCTTTAAAGAGTCACCCGGGTTAAAATGACCTCTTCTACATCCTTATTAAAGCAGAAGTTCAAGCTTGAACACATTTCTAGCAAAGTGTTCTCTCTAACAAATAATTAGTTCCAATAATTAATTTTCTCTCCATCTTTCTTTCGTGCTAATGTGTTAGGTGTACATTCACCTCATTTCTTTATTTTTTTAAATGATGATTTGGTTTCTTTCCCATCATCTGGCTTCTACCCACCAAGCAGCTGGGCGAGTGTTAGGATGCTGTGACGATGCCTTATTTTTATGGCCTCATCAGCAACACGGCCCCACCTCGTTTGACTTCACCGCCCGAATGTTTCTCTCTAATTAGATGCCGTGCTTGTTTTCTCTCTCTCTCTCTCTCTCTGCGCTGCATTGAAGCTGTTTGTGTCCCGTTGCTGCGTCTGCTGCTAAAGTTTGTTTGTTTTGCTTTGTTTGTTTAATATGCTTTTATTCCGCCCTTCTCCTAAGAAAGGGCCCAAGGGGGCTTACATTAAAAAAAAAACAATATTTAACCTAAAATCAGGGACTTTCTCCAATACAGTGGTGTCTCGCAAGATGAATCTAATTCGTTCCGCGGTTAATGTTGTCTTGCGAAAAATTTGTCTTGTGAAACGTGTTTTCCCATAGGAATGCATTGAAATCTAATTAATGCGTTCCTATGGGCAAAAAAAGTCAGAACAAAATCAAATTTAGTTTAAAAAAGGTTTATGAAGTGCTCTTTAAAGCCATACATATTGTGCAGATGATTTATCATCTGGCTTCTACCCACCAAGCAGCTGGGCGAGTGTTAGGATGCTGTGACGATGCCTTATTTTTATGGCCTCATCAGCAACATGGCCCCACCTCGTTTGGCTTCACCGCCGAAATTTTTCTAATTAGATGCCGTGCTTGTTTTTTCTCTCTCTCTCTCTCTGCGCTGCATTGAAGCTGTTTGTGTCCCGTTGCTCCGTCTGCTGCTAAAGTTTATTTGTTTTGCTTTGTTTGTTTAATATGCTTTTATTCCGCCCTTCTCCTAAGAAAGGGCCCAAGGGGGCTTACATTTTTAAAAAACCCAATATTTAACCTAAAATCAGGGACTTTCTCCCATACAGTGGTGTCTCGCAAGACGAATCTAATTCGTTCCACGGTTAATGTTGTCTTGCGAAAAATTCGTCTTGTGAAACATGTTTTCCCATAGGAATGCATTGAAATTTAATTAATGCTTTCCTATGGACAAAAAAAAGTCAGAACAAAGTCAAATTTGGTTTACAAAAGGTTTATTAAGTGCTCTTTAAAGCCATACATATTGTGCAGATGATTTCAAAAATTTCAATCAAAAAACTTTAACTTTTTAAACATCATAGAAAAACATTTAAAAATCAGCAAACACGAGGCAGGAACAAAAAATGGAAAACATTCGTCTTGCGAAGCACGACCATAGGAACATTTGTCTTGCGAGTCATCAACCCCATTGCCAAAACCATTTGTCTTGCGAGTTTTTTGTCCTGCGAGGCATTTGTCTTGCGAGGCACCACTGTATTAAACTAATTAAGAGCATTATCTTAAAAATGTCAGATAAAGCATTATTGAAACAGATTTAGAAGTGACAAAATGCAAACCGTCTCATTTTAAAACCTCTCCAAGACAGTCTGCCTGAATAGAAAGGTCTTTGTCTTCTTACGGAAGGACAGCAAGAATTCGGTGAAGGATGGGTTTCCGAAGCCAGCCGCTAAAGGGCACTTTCCTGGGGGGGGGGATCCACTTTTTGCGTGTACAACTTGGAGATCTGAAACCCACTCTTCACCGAACTTGGAGGGACTGTAGAGGAGAGCCAGAGGAAGCTTCACTGTGATAGGAGACCCTCCTTCTAGGTTTATAACTCTGATGTCTGAAACCCAAATGTCACCAAATTTGTAGGGCTTGTAAAGAAGTGTCAGAGGAAGCTGGAACAAAAAATGGAAAACATTCGTCTTGCGAAGCACGACCATAGGAACATTTGTCTTGCGAGTCATCAACCCCATTGCCAAAACCATTTGTCTTGCGAGACCCTCCTTCTGGGTGTATAATTCTGATGTCCAAAACCCAAACTTCACCAAATTTGCAGGGCTTGTAAAGAAGTGTCAGAGGAAGCTCCCTTGCAAATCTGGTGCATTTTGGTGCTTGAGGGACACTTTATAGGGTTTTAAATTAAAAGGAATGAATTGACAAATCAATTTGTAGATTTGGCAGGAAAAAAATTCGTAATCATGATTCGTTGCCCTTGACGAATCAGGAATCAAATACAAAGTTTTCTGATTCGTGCCCATCTCTGCTATTTAGGGTTCAGGACCAATATGCTTTTTTTGCATGCAGAAGTTCTGGGACATAAGTACACGGCTTTTCCAGTTAAAATAAATACTGTATTGTGGGGGAAGGCAAAATCATCACCTGAAGTCCAGAGAGGAGTTGCTAGAAGTCAGAGCCAAGAGGATTGGGATCAGCCTGTCATGACAGGCATAAAGAATGTTGGGAATCTGTGAGCTGTTTGCACGGGGCTCACCTTACAAAGCCTCAGCTTTGTAAGCAGCAAGTAATGGGTTTGAATCATGAAAGATTCAAGTAGACTGCCTGCCATGCTAGAGACCAGCTGGCAGTCTGTGCCAACCACATTGCTCTTCTAGACAGAGCAAATTTCACCGAAAGGGAGCCACCTCTACCTATGTACACTTCCTGTGTTCTAGAGTGATCGGCACGAGGTTGACAATAGGTGTGTCTGTTATGGTTTTGTTTTACTCTCGGTTGTTTAGCAATAGCGAAATGACACCCTTATGATCAGATTGCTGGAATAAAGACATTGCTGAGAGCTTTGGGATTTTATGTATGGGTCTGTTTGCCTGAGCTCAGAATTCTGGCTCCATTTGGTAGACATCAGGATGGCGGGGGGGACAGAATATTCCACAAACCTAAAGTTCACCCACCCCGCTCTTTGGCAAGATGCGCCAATGGGTTCTGCTTCCTTATTAACATGCTCCATAATACCCGTATTTTTCGCTCCATAAGACGCACCTTTCCATAAGACGCACCAATTTTTAGGAGAAGGCTCGATTTGCCTCAGGTTTGGGGGGGGGGGAGGGACAGAATATTCCACAAACCTGAATTTCGCCCACCCCGCTCTTTGGCAAGATGCGCCGATGGGTTCTGCTTCCTTATTAACATGCTCCATAATACCCGTATTTTTCGCTCCATAAGACGCACCTTTCCATAAGACGCACCAATTTTTAGGAGAAGAAAACAGGAAAATATAATCTGTTTTCTTCGCTCCATAAGACGCACAGACTTTCCACCCCCCTGTTTTGTGGGGAAAAAAGTGTGTCTTATGGTGTGAAAAATACGGTACATTCTTTTCATTTACAATTGGATCTAGTTCATGGCCTTATTTGGTGCTGGGTCTTTTAAACTCTGAAAACATTCCTTCTGTCCCTAAAGTCCCTGCTGACGCTTCGCACCAGAATCCACACCTCATAAACAAGGGGGAGCCCCTTGCCACTGCCAAACAAGAGTCGGTGATATAAATACAGACACTTCTCCCTTGAATGGCACAGGTCAGAACTTTATGGTTTGGGTTATGCACCCTTATTTGGTGCTGGGTCTTTTAAACTCTGAAAACATTCCTTCTGTCCCTAAAGTCCCTGCTGACGCTTCGCACCAGAATCCACACCTCATAAACAAGGGGGAGCCCCTTGCCACTGCCAAACAAGAGTCGGTGATATAAATACAGACACTTCTCCCTTGAATGGCACAGGTCAGAACTTTATGGTTTGGGTTATGCACCAATAATTTTTCAATCAATCAAATCAATCGAGAAATACTGTGCCCCTGGCCACCCAGAAGCTTGTGAGTTCAACACTGAAGGCATCAAAGTGGTCTGTTGTTGTTTAGTCGTTAAGTCGTGTCCGACTCTTTGTGACCCCATGGACCAGAGCACGCCAGGCTCTCCTGTCTTCCACTGCCTCCCGGAGTTGGGTCAAATTCATGTTTGGTCACTTCAATGACACTGTCCAACCATCTCATCCTCTGTCGTCCCCTCTCCTCTTGCCTTCACATTTTCCCAACATCAGGGTCTTTTCCAGGCAGTCAAAGTGGTCTACTTTCCCCCAAACACAGCATCTCTAATTCAGCTTCTAGACCAGGAGGACCTTTAAGGCTTATTTGCACATAGTCTTGTATGGAAAGTTTTGTCAATGGGATGGAAGAGAACTCTGATAGAGCTGCCTTTCTCTCTCACACCCACATAGTGTGTGTGTGTGTGTGTGTGTGTGTGTGTGTGTGTGTGTGTGTGTGTGTGTGTGTAACTTTGTAGTTCCATTTTGGGGGGGCAGAAGAGTTATACACAGATTATGAACCACACAGGGGTCTCGCACCCCTAACCCCTGCATTGTTGAAAAGAGAAGTATGGATATGGGTTATACCTCTGCTTACCACTGGTGGTGGTGACAAGAAGCAAAGCATTTATTAAGCTTTGCTTCTTGTTTGTTTTGCTTCCCATAGAGAACCCACATCATTATTTCTGCTCCCTATTACTCCTAGTAAAACAGGTTTTGGGAAGGATACAAACACTCGCTAAACCTGTTTGAACAGAGGCAAAAAGAACAACTCAGTAGGGAAACCTCTTCTAAGCTGCCTTCTCCTTCTTTCAGAAACGGCTGCTTGTTTGCTGTTCCTCCCTTTTGCATCACTGTCATCAACCTCATCTCCATCACACATTTTTCCTCATGGACCCTGGCAAGTGATTTCTATGAGAAATAAATAAATTGCTACTTTTACTGCTTCTGGCACCATCCGTGCTTGGGGGTAACCTATCTTCTTCCCCTCTTTCTCTACATCCAGTTTGGATTGTTGTTGTTGTTGTTTAGTCATTAAGTCGTGTCCGACTCTTCGTGACCCCATGGACCAGAGCACGCCAGGACCTCCTGTTTTCCACTGCCTCCTGAAGTTGGGTCAAATTCATGTTGGTAGCTTTGATGACACTGTCCAACCATCTCGTCCTTTGTTGTCCCCTTCTCCTCTCCTGCCTTCACACTTTCCCAACATCAGGGTCTTTTCCAGGGAGTCTTCT